ACACTCCAAGTGCGACACGTGCGTCGTTCCCTGCTTCAGGAAGTACCATACTGTCCACTGATTGACACTTTGAACATTTAGTTTCATGGACATTTCATGGACATTTTCATGGACATTATTATTTTGTATTTTTCATGACTTGATGCCCCACTTATCTGGTGTAAAACAATAAGTCATTTACTGGTGGTTTTAGGAGTTGTCATAGTTTCATCCCTTGAAAAAAATGATGAAAATTACAAGTTTACTGAATGTACAAGTTTTAAGACATGTTATATTTTAAATCCTTGCAAAAATGACAACCAAAAATTCTGTCATGTACTGTTTTGAGAATGTTGTATTTTCATCCCTTGAAAATGTGGCAAATTCCTTGTACTGGTTTTACTAATGGGTAATAATTTCAACCCTTGAAAAAATGAATAAAAAGACAAAGTTTCTGGAAAGTACTGCTTTGAGGATGTTGTATTTTCATCTCTTGAAAAAGTAGCACATTTCTTTGTAATGGTTTCACTAATTGGTCATGTTTTCAATCTTTGAAAAAAGGACAAAAAGACAAAGTTTCTGGAAAGTATTGCTTTGAGGATGTTGTATTTCCATCCTTTTCATTTGTTGCACCAGTGTTAGGAGTTCGCTCATTCTTGCCTTTTTATGAGTTTAGCTTTTTATTTGATTAGAAAGAGTGGAAATTATTTTACTGCTTTTATGAGTCCAACTATTTCAATGAGAAATGAAAAGATTAGGTGAAACTAAACCTGTCAACATAAAGTAATTTTCTGTGTACTATTTTATTCACAGTACTTCCCCAGCCTGTGTTATGTTTTGGCAAATTCAAAGTAACAAAGAGCTTTTTGATACATCCCTTTATACATCAGATCATGATGGTATGTGTATACATTTATTAATTCAGAGGGCTATTATTCACTTTGGCAGGGGTCCTAAATAAAGGAATGTTTGGCTTGTCACACAGTTGGTTGTCAATAAAAACAAACTAAAAACAAATGCACACTCACAGTGTGTCAGATCTCTGAAACAGACTACATCACCAAGTGAGGTATTGACTGAGTAACAAGGAAAGAAATTCTGATGTCATATACATTGTACACATAATATTTTCATCACCCCCACCAAATATGCTTTGGTGACCAATCACAAGGGTCAAGTGAATAAAGGTTGACAACCCTATGATTGCAAGCTCAGTATTTGTACGTTTCTCTAAGTTAAAGTGTACTAAGAGTTTGTTTATTAAAAAAACAAGTTGGGGCACAACAGTAGTTTTACAAAAATAAACCAGGTTACAAGTCACATCTTAGCGTAGCTCAAACTGTTATGATGATGATCTCATATCTGTATATGACCTGCCCATCAAGCACACCCCAAACAAAGCTCCAGTTACAAAGCCAACTACCGTGTCACACAGAACTTCATTAAAAAAATGTATGAAAAGCACAACGGAACGTACATGTAACCAGTCAAAACAAAGCTAGAGCCAAAACAACAAGTATGACTGTCAAAAAAAAATTCGGAAGGGTTTGAAAGTTTCAGGTCATTTTTTGTGATGACTGACAGACATGAATGGAAATGAAGTCTACCAAAGTTGCCACAAAAAGTGACAAAACTTGTCTGAATCTACGTAAAAATATCTGCAGTCGATAATTCTTAACAATTACGGACAATTCACACCACAATGCACAATGCTGGTCGAGTTAACTGGCCAACAATGTCCGCATTTCACGTGTAACTTGTGCATGATGCATCCAGCATGTCCAAAGGGCTGGCGGGCAATAAAGCTCGTGCAGTGGCAGGAAATTTTGTGGAAACGCGCTCGCTTCAACAAGTTCAAACACCAGCAATACAGCCTCAAATTAAATTCACGAACACCGAAAATAGTACACACATGGCAAAGACAAAAATGTTGGTATGACAGTTATTGACAGTACATGTACATGCATACTTGTACAATACACGTGACACACAGACATCACTACTGCAGCTGACGCCGCTATTTCAGTACAGACACAGATCTGATAAACGAACGCCATAGTCTGCTACACACCGCTCATGGTGCCTGGCCTGCAGTGCATCTACTGTCCAGAGTACATCGTGCATGATGCAACTTTGCAGTTATGAAATGACTTTGTCTTCGGAAAAGAAGAGAGGGCTTTTATTTGGTTCCACGATAGCCAGCTAACAAGAATGTGCATATTTCTTGTGACGCAGGTAACGAAATTGTAAGGCCGAAAAGGAGCACTGCTTCTTACATGCCACTTCCAGTCCACCTTCAGTGAAGCTGACCGTGCCCGGCTCACCCAGCATATCGACCGCCGTTGCCGCCGGGAGTTCGAGAAGTGCAAGGCCCGCCAACTCGCCAAGTTCCAAGACCTAACTGAGGAGAGTTCGGCCCGTCACACCACCCAGCGCCCAATTGAGTCTGCTGTTGACACATCGAAGTGGGTTGTCAACCTCTCCGCGAGGACCCTCACCACCGTCGAGACATCTCTTCTAGGGAAAGGCTTCAACTTCACCGTCACCCCTGACCACGTACCGGCAACGGAGATCGTGGCCAGTGTGGAAACAACGTTGAAGAGGCTTGACCCGGAAACAGCTGATGTGGTCCGCAGAGAAGTGAACGCTTCATTACGGAGGGCACGCCCGCCCAGGAGCAACATCAACCGGGAGCAACGCATCGCCCTGAAGGCTCTACGGCAAGATCGTTCCATCGTGATCCTCCCCGCCAATAAGGGCCGTGCCAGCGTGATCCTTGACACCCACACGTACCGGGACAAGATGGATGAGCTCATCTCCACGGGCCCTTACCGGAAATTGGCTAAGGACCCCACCGACCGGCTCTGCAGGATGATCACAGCCCAGCTTTTTGCCCTTAACAAGTCCGGAGATCTTGACGATGCCACCTACCGGAAGTTAGGGAGCCC